GACCATCTGGACCATGTGGAATATGCACTGGAACATGCACTGGTCAGGAAAACTGGACGAGGTGGAACATGCACTGGTCAGGAAAACTGGACCATGTGTCGAACATGGACTGGTCAGGAAAACTGGACCATCGTACACCAAGATCAAATGGAGGGGAGGGAAAAAGAAGAAAAAAAAAAGGAAAAAAAAAAGGAGAGGATGGAAGAGAGAAATCCACTCCAGTTCAAAAAAAAAAAAAAAATCCACTCCCGTTTCCTACAAACGCAATGAGAACCAGGAATAGAGCGGGACCGGGAAAAGAGAAGGATCAGGAACAAAGGACAAGCAAGCACCAGAACCAGAGACGACGAACCAGGAACAGAGACGTTATTCCGGACCAGGAACAGAGGGGATGGACCACAACCGGCAGTAATACAGTGATTACATTTAATTACAGTTCGATGATTAGATTAGAATCATAAGATCGATCAATAAAACCCTAAAAGCTATAAACTAAAAAGGCGTCTTAGTACTCTCTGAGGGGCAYAATCACACTAGACCTTTTTTTTTTCCCCCACTAAATTTCTGAACGTAATTGCGGTCAGATACGTTCAGGAAAGTGCTGGTGAGACTAAGCTCCAATACTAGACAAGACAGTTTATCAGGCTCTTAACTTCCACAAAAAAAAAAAAAGAGCCCTTTGAGCAATCAGGCCGATCAAAAAAAAAAAAACAAAAACAAAAAAAAAGATCAGGCCAATTCCAGCAGAGAGCCCCCCCAAAAAAACAAAAAAAAACAGAGCTCGCCTTCCAACCGTCAATCTACCGAACCCTTTGAAAACGAACACCCACCCGCGCCAACCCCCTTCTCCCTCCCTCCTCCCCCCCTTCCCTCCTTTTTCCCCCGTTGAAAGAAAAACACCCGGGCGGTTGTGAAGGTATTAGTGAGGGGTTTAAGCCCCCCTTCTGTTCCAATGAATGGGGGCTAAAAAAAGGGGGCTAAAAAAAAGAACCCTTCCAGCTCCAACAGGGACAAGTGTGGTCCTCAGGGACTTCCCCTAAGATAAGCGTTATAAACCGCCTTTATATTTCAATCTAAGGGGTGCTGTTTTAACCCCCCTTATATCTCAACATAAGCGGGGGTAGTTAACCCCCCCCCTTTTTTAGTTCGATTCGATTAACACGACAGTAAGCAGTGAGCGTATGCATGAAAAAAAAAAAACAGAGTCAGCGCCGCCTCCCCAGCATGTCTCTCTGTCTGGCTTCGAGCGAAGTAACCAGGAAGTATCAAAGAAGTATAGATGAATGTAGAGGGATTTTAATCAAAGGGCTCAGGGGGAGACTATACGTAAATGAGTAGGCATCCTCCTTCTCCACTTTACAGAACAACATGATGATTCCTTGGCCTGCACAATAAAATATAAACGGAACATATGACACGTAAATGGAACAAATACTAAACGGAAAAAGCCACTGAACGGAACAAAATGGAGGAAGTAACGACAAATAAGGGAACGAGGCACACGACACACACACAAACCCATCAAGGTGCGTTAGCTGGTCGCTCATTTGAAGTTATTTGCCTTTTTGTTTTTCCCTTTTTTCCTTTTCTCCCCCCCTCCTCTCCCCCTCCTTCCCCCCCCCGGACATATGAAGCATAAAATGGAACAAAAAAAAACGGAGGAATATAAGGAAAATAAGGGAACCATCCACGCAAACACAACCCCATTAAGCCTGTCTCTTATACACATCTAGATGTGTATAAGAGACAGTCTGTAAGGAGGGCTATATCAGACAGCGCCACCGTCATGCCACCCCCAGTCAAGGGGTGTCTCATGTTAAATGCGTCCCCCATCAGAAGGACACC